TGAGAAAGCAAGCCCCCAGGTCTGGGACTCGAACCATAGTCAGCCATGTGGGAGTCCAGAGCCTTTAACAACCATACCACCTGCCGGACCCCCTTTAGTGTCTTTTTATCTAAAAGTTGTTGCACCTTTTTAGTTTGATACTCACTTTTTTTTTTTTTTTTTTTGCCAAAGGGGAGGGGCCCCCCCCCCCCTTTTTTTTTTTTTTTTTTTGGAGAGGTTTTTGCTATAGGGCGCGTGCACTTGCCAGAAAGATAGAGACAGAGAGACAGAAAGCGAGAAATCACCCCCCAGGGGGGATGGCCACACCGCAATCCCTTCTCCTCCGTTCTCCTCTTGGGATCTTGGGCACACACGCACATGTGCCCGGCGTGAGTTTAAGCCACCGGGTCCGGGACGCAAACTGCAGTCGACTACGTGGGAGTCCAGCAACATAGCCATTACGCTAACTGCTGGCCCCGGTACTCACTTTTCAAATAGTCCAAATTGGGGCCAGCCTATAGGACAGAGTTGTTAAAGGCCGTGCCTAGAATGCCAGAGCCCAGGCCACAAGAGTTCTTCCTTAATTCAATACAGAGGCTCTTACACAGATAAATAATATTTTTTGAAGGTGGAGAACTGAATGCCTAACATTCATCCAAGTGAAATATATAACACATGTTGAGGGCAAATTTTCTTTCTTTTCTTTTTCTTTTTTCTTTTTTATGCTTTTGCCATAAAAATTCCTTCTCTCCTAGTCTCTTCTTGGAGATTTGGGGCACGCACACACATGCACCTGGTGTGATGTTTAAGCCGCCATGTGTGGGACTCGAACCGTGATTAGCCATCAGCCATGTGGGAATCTAGCACCTTAACCACCATAGCACCTGCTGGCTCTGCAGGTAAGTTTTCTTTCTTTCTTTTTTTAAGAGGTTTTTGACTTAAGGCACATACACTCACCAGGGAGGAAGAAAGACGCAGCGAGAGGGAAAGTGAGAAATTAGCCCCCAGGGGGATGGCCATGCCACAATCCCGTCTCCTCCATTCTCCTCTCGGGATCTTGGGCACGCACGCACAAACCACCAGGTCTGGGACCCAAACCATGGTTGGTCATGTGTCCAGTGACGTTAACTGCTATGCCATCTGCTGGTCCCGAGGG